CGGGGAGGTGAGCGCCGGGGCGGGGGGGAGAGAGGGAGGGGTGCGACCTCCCGGACGGGGCTGCGGGCTCTCTCCCGGGAGCCGGTATCGACGGGAGGAGGCTCCCGGGGTGCACCCGCACACCGACCGCTGCGCCGGGCCCCGGTGCTGGCCGGGGGGCGCCGGTGAGGGGTCGGGCCCGCCCGAGGCGGAGGCGGCTCTGGCCGCCTGCAGGGGTAGCGCTGGGCAGGCGCAGAGAGGCGGGGGGGGCTCCTGCCTGGTTGCTGGGGGTAGATCCGTTAAACATGGAGGTTTCGGGTTAATTTACCCACGGAACGGTGAAAACTCCCCGATGAGGCTGTTACCGGCGCCCGCCGCCGCACACCGGGGCTTCCTACGCGGAGCGGAGGCGTTTCCTGCCGCGGGGGCCCGGTCTGGGAGGGGTGGGGGGTGTCTCTGCGCCTGAATTCTGCCCGGGGTGACACAAATTACCGGGGCCGGTGTCGCCACCGTCCATCCCGGTACGGAGGGGCGGGCTGGGGGCCGGTACCTGCCCACACAGCCCCGGCGAGAGGCGTTTGATCGTGGCCCGTTGTGGCTCCGTCCCCTGGAAGGGGGGGAGTTCGGGGGTCTGCCGGCGGCTTTGGGGCCGGAGTTGCTTCTCCCGGTGATGGGGGGAGTGTTGGGGCCGGTGGGTCCCCCCGGGGCCGGGTGAGTCCCGGCGGGAGGGAGGGGTGTGTGCCCGGGTGAGATACCCAGTTTTCCGCCGCCCCAGGACCTGACACAGCCTCAGGCCGGGATATTTCTGCAGTTTGTCCTTCCTGCAGCCAGGTTCCCCCTCCATCCCGCTGCACCAGGGCCGGCTTTTGGCTTTAGCCTGTTGCTGGCTCCTCCTTTGCCTTTTGGTGGTGATTAAGGTGGGATAAATGTGTAACGGGTTCCTTTGGATAGAGTGACAGTGAAATAAATTAAAAAAAAAACCCAACCCAATATGGGTGTTTCATGCATCAGGTGACAGGATTTTGCACGTCAGGTTGTGGAATTCCCCGAGACCTGGGCTGTAGGTGCTGCACATCCCTGAAAAATCAGGAATGGGTGACCTCGGGGCACTGCGGTACTCCCTCTCTCTTCCTGAGGCCATCCTTGGTGTCCCTGGAATATTGCTGAGCTTTCTGAAAGCCCAAAATACCCCCTATTATTCACGTAACAGAGTTCAGCCAAGCAGGCTCTGCTTGAGCAGGCAGGGACGCTGACGGGGTGCGATGCTCTGAATCCCTGATGGGCAGCTCGGTGCTGTATCCAATTTAGCTTAGATCCCAGATCCTCAGTTGCTTCCCAGGTGGATTCATGGCCCTGGCACGGGAATGGAAATGAGAGGAGTGTAGCAACAGAGTCTGGCAAGTGCAAATCTCCTATTTCTTATAATTGTGATGAACGAGGAGGCTTTGCTCTTGCTGTAGCGTGGAGTGAAATGACACTCCAGCCATCTCTTAATGCTTGACTAAAAATGCCAAATAACATTTTTATAATAACTTCGGTAGGATTTGTTATTTGAGAGAGCTTAAATAGAGTCCAGATGGATTTATTGTTTCTTTTTTTTTTTAAAGTGCTTTTGGTTTTCTAAATAAAGTGGCTCTGAAATACCAGTGTTGGGCACCATGGGTTCTGGAGCCGTGTCAGCGAGCGATGTTGTGCTATAAACAGCGGAGATCTCTGGCTTGGCAGCTGCTGGGGGTAGCAATAGCTCTCTTGTGTTCCTGGCTGGGCCTGACAACTGACTAAAATCAGGCATTTGAGTCCCATCTTGCTTCAAATAGTTCCTTATTTGATGAGTTGAACTGTTTTTAAAAAAAAAAAAAAGGAAAATTCTTTGGGCTTTTGGAAGATATAAATGTTGGGAATCATCTGGTAGCTGATCCCCTGAGATATTCCAGTGTCAGCTCAGAAATAAACTGTGGTATGTTCTTAATTTAGTTGTCCCATCTTTATTCCTTTTGCCTGTCGAAACAGGAAGTAGCTGATGCAAATTTCATGTTGCTGACAGCAGCTTGTCGGCCTTCACGAAGGCTGAATCTGAACAGAGGCGTAGGTTTGACTTGCTTTGGCTATAAAACTAACATTTGTCTCTTCCAGAATGTCTAAACCAGGACTTGGGTTAGTGTGCTCTGTCAGGCAACCGGAAGAATTTAATTTATACTGGTTTTATGAGGACTTGCTTGCTCCTCTGAGGACTGGCCTTTGGCTGGGACATCCCGACTCCTTGATATTCTCCAAACAGGAAACTCCCCTCGCTGTGGTGTTGTAGGGCTTTGGGATAGCTAGTGTTTTTACAAATAAAATCCCTTCCCTTTGTTGCTTTGCTCAGTATATCAAGTGTCTCATTGTAGATGAAAGGCTGTTTGCTGTACAGGGTGTTCAAAGCCATGTTCCCAAGCTTTGATGGAAATAAAGGCTTGGAAATAAAAAGTTTAATAGATTAACTAAATGAATGCTATGAGAATGAATGGACTTTCTGGCCCAGGGTGAAATGTGGGTTTGCTGCGAGTCCATAGCTTCCGCTCCATTGCTAATCAAAGTTCAATTGGATTTAAACAAGACCTAGATTTAAATCCTACGTTACGGTCCCAAAAGGGAGAGCATCATCTCAACTCCACTTCTGGCAGCTGGAGAACTCCAACCCTTTCACCTTCCTCCTGAGCACGGGACCATGCGCTCGACAAAAATGACTCCCCATAACCTGTACGTCTCGGCTTCCTCTTTGAAGAAGCCAACTGAGTTTTATTACTGAGATCTGTGAAGTCAGTTTGTCACTTACTGACAAACTATTCTGCCTATTCAGAGCGATTAACAGACAAAACACTGCTTAGATGTAGCCCAAGCGGGTCCACTTTGTTATACATATTTCTTTTTCTCTGTTGCTAAACACTAATCTCTCCAGATTGCGGCCTCCGGCTGTTGGGGTTAGCTACAACTAAATATTTTTATTTCATTCCAGATAGGTATGAAAATGGCAGAAAGAGCTGCATCCACTGGGCAAAGGGCATAGTTAAGGGTGAGTCAAAGATAGTTTTAGCAGGGAGTGACTGAGATACAGGTACCGGCTCTGAGACTTTGTGCTGCCTGCACTTAGTTCTGATTTTGCTGCCAATTTACTGAGTGACTTATCTTGCGAGTTGTCCTAATGCCTCCCATTAAACAGAAATGAAAATGAGTTCGCCATCTGCCAGATAGTTTGCAAAGCTGGTTATCCAGCACGGGGAGTTCATGGCTTCTGTCAGGGAAACCCACCGAGGTCGGGGAAGGGACGTGTCAAACGGCACGAGACTGGGAGGAATCTGAAGGAACACTTTTCTTGTTAAAGGACATTAATCCCGACAGCGTATCTAGAGCTGGTGCGATACGCTCCTCGCAACAGCCTGTTTTATTGCCGGGGGTCGGAAGCAGCTTTCCATCTGGACTTTCTGGTTTGTAATCCTGATTTGAACTGCAGTTTGTGACTCGGTAATGGGGCTGATCAGATTAGAGCCTCGCCTGGAATGTGGTGGGGATCAGTGGTGCAGAACAGCAGCTTTGTCTGCCCGGCGCTCTGTAAACCTGCTGTCCTTCCTCAAAACCCTGCACTACACCCCTCTGTCTTGCTGCGCTCTTGAAGCGTAGGAGACTTTCCTTAACAGGTGGCTCTTTTGGGGGAAAAAAACCACCCTTTTAGTGCGCTGAGAGAGCGGGGGAGGCAGAGCCCTGCTCTTGGCTGCGCTCCCACTTGAAGACGTGAGCCCCGTTGTGGATGCGGCAGAGCGCTGACGATCCTGCGGTCAGGATTTCTACATTGTACAGAATTTTAAAAAAAAAAGAAAAAAAAAAAAAAGAGGTATTCATTACTGTTAATTATATGGGTGGCCGCCCACGAGTTTCAGCCTCTCTGAACTTTTGTTGTTTTTGTATCTGGAAGGCGTCCAGTCGCTGCTGTCCGGTTTTATGCACAGTATCTCCCCTGGCTCGCTCTTGCACAGAGGAGGAAACCGCTCTCTTCCTCTTGGAAGGGGGGTGGCCTCTCCCCCCAGCCCTCCTCCCCCTCATCGGTGCTGCTTCTCCTGATGCAAGCAGCCGAAAGAGGGGTAGAAAATGGCCTTATTTGTCTTGTGACATCAGTGCCGCTTGTGACTAATGCTGGATCTGCCCCACATCCTCTGGAAATTGGGTGAAAACATGCACTTTGAAGCAGGGCTGAGAAGGCTTGTGAGCAAATGCAAACCCCTAATTAGAACTTCAAGTTTCGTTTCCGAGGGAGATCTAGTACCAGTTCATCGAAGCAACCGGGTGAACCCAGTCTCCCTTTTCGGGGATGCTGGGAAGGACCTTCTCCTTCAGGCAGGGTTTTGAGCCCTTGCAGGCTGTTGCAATAAGAAGGAAGCTGAGTCCAGGCCGTAATTGTGATTCACGTTGTAAAATCTTTTGATGAGTGGTGATAAGATAAAAATGCAATTGGTGACTTGCTGCTCCCTCCCTGCATTCCCCGGGCGTTAGTGTGCTCGGAGCGTGACTCGTCTTGCTCCTTGGTGCAGAGTCTCTGCAAAGCAGTAATTAATGGAAAGTTTTATAGGACACTTAAGACTTTTCCAGATGAGACACTTCAGATGACTTCTGCACCTAAATCCGCCTTCCTGTGCAGGGCCTGCAGAGGAGATTCAGCCGTTCAGAAACCAAAGCCTGTAGAGGGAGAGGATGAACAGGGGCGCATTGTTGCAGAAGGAGCTGTTCCTTCTTAGCTTGTGCAGCTGCTCCTCTTAGTGTGTGCCAGGGTGGCTCGTTTTGCAGGCTGATGCTCTGTGCTGTAGCCATGCTGGAGTTATAGACGTTCCTTGGAGGAATTCGAGGCTCTGGGAGGTCCCTGCAGATGCATTTGGGGAATCAAACCTCCTAGTTCTAACCCAAAGTGTGTGAACTCCCACTGAAGCAGTCGGATACTTGATTTGCTATAATATATTGGGCACAGCTGGGACTTTGGCCAAGGACCGACTGCAGTGAGGTTCTGTGCAGACCTTTGTTTTATTGAGCGGTGTCAATACAAGGTCAGAAGTTGAAAGTTTTAGTATCCTTATATGTGTAAGAAATCCTTACAATGGGATAAGGCTATGTGGCCGTTGAGGAGCGACTGTGGCAATAGAAAGTGGCTGTAAGCGTTGTGCATGTTGCATAATCTGCATGTCCCTGCAAATCTGAGGGTTACCTCGCTGCCCATCGTCAGGGTGCAGAGCTAGGTAGAAATTATTCTTCTGGAACTGGTAGAGCTTGTACCAGACAGCTGAGAAACCCTCCTCGGTGTTTGGCGTACGAGTTTCACACTGTCAGAGGATAATTGTTTTCTGTCCGTGCAGGTCGTGGACAGCGGTAGATATGGAAAGACTGGTTGAACGGTTGGAGAAGGCTGTGGAGCGCCTGGAGACGGTGTGCCAAGGACCTGGCATGTGTGGAGATGGCTCTTCCAAAGGTGAGCCCCAACAGCAGCTCCCCAGCAGCGTGGCCCTGTGGGAGTCCCTGGGCTGAAGGGCCAGTGGGGCATCAGGAGAAGCTGTTGCAGGGCGTGTGAAGGGCTGTTGGATGAACTGCCTGCACAGAGGGGAAGTGAGTTTCACAGCAGGTACTGCGCAAGCGCAGAAAGGCCTGCGGTTACCGTTTTGCTAAGATAAAGACTTCCTGTGGCTGCAACACTTCCCTCGTCTGCGTTCAGCTGCCTGCTCCAGGCTGAGCCTCCTGCCTTTGGTCAACATGAGCTGGGGGGAAGGCTGAGCGTGGCCTCTCGGTGATACCTGTGCTCTGGTTCCTTCTCTGCAGGAGTGGCTCAGTACGTGCAGGCTTTTGATGCCCTTCTGGCTGGCCCAGTAGCTGAATACATCAAGATCAGCAAAGAAGTTGGCGGGGATGTGCAGAAGCACGTAAGGACTCACGTTCTCTCGCTGCCCTAAATTGATGCTGCTTGTTCTTCAGGGCTGTTGAGAGCCAAGTTTTCTGTCGGTGTTTGCATTCCTTCAGTGCCGCATTCTAGGATGTTTATAATCCCTGAGGATTCAAAACAGATGCAGATGCCCAGATAACCTCCAGCAGATTGCCACCTACACACTCTATGAATCAAACCTCCTTGAAATCTTTGTTAGTTAGGTGCTAGCTCTCTTTACGGACCTTGGCACATGCCTTCAGGAGACCTATAAATTACCCAGCTCAAGAGCTGTTCCGCTCTTGTAAGCTTTCTCTGAGAATGGGTGTCTCCAAGAGTGTTTGCTTTGAGATCAGCATAGCTGTTTTCTTATAGACTGGGAACTGCGGGCAGCAGGAGCTTGAATGACTGTTAGTGTTAGGCTGGGCACAAGGGAAGCTCTCTCATGCCTCTGCACTCATGAGACCCCACCTGGAATACTGTGTCCAGCTTTGGAGTCCTCAACACAGAAAGGACATGGACCGGCTGGAACAGGTCCAGCGGAGGGCCATGAAGATGATCAGAGGGATGGAGCACCTCTCCTATGAAGACAGGCTGAGGGAGCTGGGATTGTTCAGCCTGGAGAAGAGGAGGCTCCGGGGAGACCTTAGAGCAGCCTTTCAATATCTGAAGGGAGCTACAGGAGAGCTGGGGAGGGACTCTTTGCCAGGAAGGGTAATGATAGGACAAGGGGAAACGGTTTTAAATTGGAAGAAAAAAAATTCAGATTAGATCTCAGGAAGAAATTTTTTTACTGTGAGGGTGGTGAGACACTGGAACAGGTTGCCCAGGGAAGTTGTGGATGCCCCATCCCTGGAGGGGTTCAAGGCCAGGCTGGAGGGGGCTTGGAGCAACCTGGTCTGGTGGGAGGTGTCCTTGCCCATGGCAGGAGGGTTGGAACTAGATGATCTTTGAGGTCCCTTCCAACCCAAACCATTCTATGATTCTGTGTTTCTCTCTGTCATTAGGCTGAGATGGTTCATGCGGGCTTGATGAGCGAGAGGGCTCTTCTGGTGATGGCATCTCAACATCAGCAGCCAACAGAGGTAAGTCTGGGGAATCGTTCATCAGAAACCTTGTGAGCCCTTATCTCAGAGTTGGGGATCACTGCAAGCGTAGGGGAATCTGGACCGTTACTGTTGCTCCAAAAGAGGAACCAGAGGAGGACTGGAGACACTTACACTATGAGGTGGCACTTGCTGAAAGCGTGAACTCTTCTGGGTGCTCACCCAACCCCAGGCAGAATTCTGGGGGTTGATTCTTAGAGCTGCAAAACTGGCATTTTCCAGTCTTTAGAGCCACAGGTTTTCTGTAGCTGTGAGAGCAGCTTGTGAGTGTCATCTCACCGCGGCTGGCTCGAGTTTCACCTGGCACCAGGTCTGCACAATCACTGTTCCCCCAGATGAAACCTGCAGACAGGAACCACAGTGGGATTTGCCTAGAGAGCGCTTTTCATTATGTGCTGCTTATAGACTTTCAGGCATTAAACTCCTTCTGAAGTATAACAGACACTTGTCTCTATTGAATGGCCTCTGAATAATAGCTAGGCTTTTAGGATTGATTTGTCCTTAGCAAGTAATTTAACACTTTACCCTAGGCTGCTGCTTCTCAGCAGGATGCGTGACTGAGAATCTGATCCTGAATGCATTGGCTTTTCCCTGCTGAGAACTGGTTTTTTCCTGAGCAACAGGATCCCACCTCGCTTTTCTTTTAGTTATTGCCCAGCTCGACTGTGGTTTCTACTGTTACATTGTGCTGGCTGCATTTCTGTGCTGCTTTCCTATTCACTGCAAAATATATCTGCATCTTTTTTTTGCCCAGACTCAGTGTTGGAAGGTTGTTTATCTTTCCCCAGGCTTGCTGGGACGCTGCTCTGCGTAGCCTCTAGTCTGAGAATCTGCTTACAAATTCCACTGACACGTTATTTAAATAAAGGATTATAAACAAACAACCATCTTAATCTAGTCTAGGTCTCTGTGCAGGTTGTCTTACAAGAGTCTAGTCAGTTCTGGAGAATCCAGTTTAAAATGTAAAATGTATGAATTCTCACTGCTCGTGGCAAAGAGTTTCCCCATCCTGTTACTTGACAGTGGCACTAGGCTGGAGCTCCTGGAAGTGTAGCCTGGCTGGTGGTCCTTGGAACTTCTCTGTGTTCACCTAGAGGAAGGGATAGTGAAAGGTAATGCCGAGGCTTTGAAAAGCAAGTTTTGCCCAAATTTGTCCCTCACTGCTGCCACCAGCAGGAGAATTTCCAATTTTAGTGGACAGAATAGTTGCCCGAGAGGCATCTCTGGAACCGTTTAATTGGCTGTTCTGCTTTCACCTCAGAAGACTTGCGAGCGCTTTCAGTCACTGTTCCAAGTGAACAACACACAGAAACGATTTTTATCATCCAAATATTAAAGGCTTGGATTGACCTGAGGAGTAACTTGAATCCTGAAGTCTGGCTTGAGAGAGTGAGTTGAGAATTTGCTGCGACTCCGATTGTAACGCAGGCTGTAGATCCCAAACTGCAAAAACCTGCTAAGCACCCCCTTTCTCTGAGGGTTTATAAAGGAGAGAAAATATTTGACAAACTGTCTTGGAACAAAAGAATCCAGGAAAGGCAAATGCTATTTCTGTCCTCGTTACTAACAAGCTTTGTCAGTGTCTCTGGGATTGAACATGAGTCACAGTTCTTGGCGTTCTCCCATCGCACCAATCCAGTTGGGATCTATGAGTTCAGCTCTGGAGGAGCCAGGCTGTGGGACTGAGCTGGGCTCGCAGGGAGGGCCAAGCCTGGACCAGAGCTGCTGCAATAACTGGTGCCAGTTGGAGTCTTCCTCAGAGTGACCATCATCTCGGCAGAGCTGCCCATGAAGGCGTGCAGCCATTTCAGAGCAACACTAATGTTCTTAACTGTTATCATCCCTCTTGTCCCGCAGAATGCGTTTTCATCGCTTCTGAAACCGATTTCGGAGCAAATCCAGGTGGTGCAGAACTTCAGGGAGAAGAACCGTGGTAGCAAACTGTTCAATCACTTATCAGCAGTCAGCGAGAGCATCCCAGCCCTGGGCTGGGTGGCCATGGTAAGAGCTCTGGTGGGGAATGGTTTCTTTGGGTTTTGAGAAAAGCCTGGCTCCCTGGTCAGCTGCTCCATGCTAATGTGTTCTTCCTTCTTTAGGCTCCAAAGCCTGGTCCGTATGTGAAGGAAATGACTGATGCTGCCATGTTTTATACCAACCGGATCCTCAAGGAGTACAAGGATGTGTAAGTTCACCTTTTTTCTTTTAAAGATGTCATTGAACACAGCTAACTGGGTGTGTGGGGGCTGCTCCAGTATCTAACCACGGCTGCCTTGCTCTTTAAATCAGTCTTCCTTTTAAAGGCAGGGTGTATTTATAAAGCCTCACTTAGCTGTTCTTTCCTGATCCTTAGGGAATACAAGATTCCTTGCATTCGTGTTGCAGGTGGAATCTCCTGCAGCAAGTGTATCACTGCTCTTGTCTGGTGGCTGAGCCGTGTCCCAGGGCAGCAACTTCTTGTTGGAAGTACCAGACTCCTCAATTAAAAAGGGTTATGGTGCAGAACAGGCCTGTGGCCTTCTGCCTGGGGTGTGAGATGAATACTGGAGCTGGAACGTGGTGCTGGAGGTGTGAGGCTGCTGTGCTGGTCCAGCTGCATCTTGCCTGTAGGCTGGGAGGTGGAGACATGTAAAGAAGTGTTTGTAGTCCTTGGGTTTTAGTGGGGAACGCACCGGCTCACTCCTCCTGATCTCCTTTGTGTCCTCAGAGATAAAAAGCACGTGGACTGGGTGAAAGCTTACCTGAGCATCTGGACAGAGCTGCAGGCCTACATCAAAGAGTATCACACCACGGGGCTGACCTGGAGCAAAACGGTGGGTGCTGGGGCCGTCTGCAGGAGCTCCTTGGCTGAGTATTGCACGATTATCGCAGCGGATACGGAGCTCCTGCAACTGCCTTGCCTCTTGCTGGCCTCTTACAGGGTCCTGTAGCAACGGAAGGGACTAAATCACCATCTGCTCCCCCCGCTGGGGCTGCGCCACCCCCACCAGGCCCCCCTCCTCCCCCTGCTCCTGCCCCCACCAGCTCCAGCACAGACGACTCTGCCTCCCGCTCCGCGCTCTTCGCCCAGATCAACCGGGGAGAAGGCATCACCTCTGGTAGGTGGAAATAGGCAGCAGAGGGAGGGCAGCCACGAAGCAGCTGTGAATCCTTGTTAACAACCAACCATCTGGGCTGAGGATGAGGCTGGGAGCCAGAAGCAGCCCCGAGGCAGCTCCCAGGGAGGAAGGGAGCACACCTGAGTTAGCATTCTCAGCCTCATCTGTTGGGTGTTGCAAGAGATTAATCCCCAGCTGGAGCAGAGAGAGGGAGCCTTTTGGTTGCCCATGCGTACACAAGGTGTGATTTTGCACCTATTCATATTTGCACAAAACCTGAGCTCTTTTGTGTGTTACCTGGTCAGTGTATCAGGACAGACATGAAACAAGAGCGAGGTGCTTTGGGGAGTGGAAGAGCTGGTGCCTTCTGGTTCTACATACATCTTGTGTTCTCATCAATATTGTGTCTGGTGTTCCTTGCTCCCTCTGTCACTTCTGTCACTCGTGCTCGGGCTCAATGTAGGCCCAGTTGCAATAATTTATTTGCATTTTGAAAAACATCATGATGATCATTGTAATTACTGATATTTGGTGTTTGTGAAGCTGCATTCTTGGAGAAGCTCAGGTGTGATGTCTCTTACAGGCTTAAGACATGTTTCAGATGACATGAAGACCCACAAGAATCCAGCACTGAAGAACCAAGGGGGTCCTGTGAGAAGCGGACCCAAACCTTTCACTGCTCCCAAACCAGCCTGCAATGCTAATCCTTCCCAAAAAACCTCTCCAAAGGCACCTGCGTTGCTAGAATTAGAGGGCAAAAAGTGGAGAGTGGTGAGTGCCTGGGGTCGGCGTGGGTGGGTTGGGGGGCTGGGAGCTCTGCAGCAGGGAAGGAGGGTCTCCTGAAGACCTTCCTTGTAAGAGCCTGAGGGTAGATGCAGTTTGCTGTGAAAGGGGCTGTGCTGCCCTGCTGTTCACAGGGGTTAATTGGTCTGCATTCCAAAAATAAAGTGCCTTTTCCCTGCCTTTTCAGGAAAACCAGGAGAATGCCACTAACCTGGTAATCAGTGACACAGAGCTGAAGCAGGTAGCATATGTTTTCAAGTGCACAAATAGTACACTCCAAATCAAAGGCAAGATCAACTCCATCACCCTCGGTAAGCGGAGAGAACCTGAAAACTGCTTCTGCCTCCTGGAGGCTGGATCTCCAAAACCTTTCTGTGACTGACCCTGTCTTTTCTTCGCAGATAACTGCAAGAAGCTAGGCCTGGTGTTCGACGACGTGGTGGGCATCGTAGAGATCATAAACAGCAGGGATGTCAAAGTTCAGGTGAGTGTTCTCTGCCTGGAGTGTGACTGCTGCACTGCAGCAACAGGGTGTCGGGAGCATCTGCTTCTCCGAGTTGCGTATTTCCAGAACAGGAATACGTGTCTGTGGAGAACATTGAGGAAACACCATCTGTCCCACTGCTCTGCAGCTCACCCTCGCCTCACTGAAGCTCAGCTTCAGGGCTCTAGAGAAAAAATTAGTTTCTGTGAGGAGGCCAGCAGTAGAGTCTACTCCCATTCCTGTTTTCTTATCTGATTTGGGATGGTCAGTTTGCCCAGCGTTCCCTGTGGTTTTGTTCTCAAAGATCTACTCTGATTCCAGTTTTCATGTCTGATTTGGGATGGTCAGTTTGCCCAGCGTTCCCTGTGGTTTTGTTCTCAAAGGATCAAAGCAAGAAATAACTTTGGATTTTTGCCAAAGGTGGGAGGGCTTGAATCCAGTGTTGGGGGGCTGGAGCCAAACCTCTTGTCTTGAACGCAAGAAGAAAAATGTGATTGCCTGGTTCAGGCTGATGCTCCTCTAACTGCTGCTTTGCCCACCCTGCCACAGGTGATGGGTAAAGTGCCAACGATTTCCATCAACAAGACAGACGGTTGCCACGTGTACCTGAGCAAGAGCTCCCTAGACTGCGAAATCGTCAGTGCCAAGTCATCGGAGATGAACGTCCTTATTCCCACTGAGGGTGGGGACTTTGTAAGTGTTGGGTTTTGAAGTCGTCATCGTCTGCTCGGGGTCGGGGTGACACAAGGTGGGATTTGGATTTTGAGCCCTGCAGGGGATGTCACAGTTACAGTGAGGGCTGGAAGGACAATTCTAGACTTGGAGGTTGTGAGTGATGATCAGATGGTAAAACCAGCAGGTTGTTTGTCTTTACAGTGAGAGATTTCATAGAATGGTTTGGGTTGGAAGGGACCTCAAAGATCATCTAGTTCCAACCCCCCTGCCCTGGGCAGGGACACCTCCCACTAGAGCAGGTTGCTCAAGGCCACATCCAGCCTGGCCTTGAACCCCTCCAGGGATGGGGCAGCCACAACTTCCCTGGGCAACCTGTTCCAGTGTCTCACCACCCTCACAGTAAAATATTTCTTCCTGAGATCTAATCTGAATCTTTTTTCTTCCAATTTAAAACCGTTTCCCCTTGTCCTATCATTACCCTTCCTGGCAAAGAGTCCCTCCCCAGCTCAGATTTGCTGTTTAGTGAGAGTTTTTTCTTCCTTGGGATCTCTTGGGGGCAGAACAGGCAGCGTTTGTGGTGCAGGAGGGGTGCAGAATATATCTAAGAAAAGAAATGCCTAAAGCTGTGGGAGTAGTTACTGGTCTCAGTCGTAAACTGGTTTTTGATAACAGGTTTCTATTTTTACCCCCCAGACTGAATTCCCTGTCCCAGAACAGTTCAAGACAGTGTGGAACGGTCAGAAGTTGGTTACCACCGTGACGGAAATCGCCGGCTAAGCAGAAAAGCTCCGAGGCTCATGCCCTCCCCTGGCCCTGCTGTGGGACAAATCTGCTTTCAGATGATTCTCTTAGATTTCTTGTACCTTTCTGCTCTCAAACTGCTTCTCTTCTACCCGGGAGACACAGCTACCTGCCGTCACTGAAATACCTCTGGCTGGGGTTTGGTGTAGGTGGCGGGTCAGTTTTTGTCCACATCTATTAGCAGGAAGGTGTATTTTTTTCTTCTCCCCTTGTCCGATCTAACTGCACCAATTGATCATGTCAGATTTTGGGTGAACTTCACAGCCAGTACTGGCAGTTGGCTTTCAGAGTGTTGTTTGGGTTGGTTAATTTTTTTTTTTTGTATTGCCTTTAAGCAAACTGTTCATGTGAGAGAGGAACGTTGTCCCCTTTTTGACAAATAATGGTTTATGTCGGGGTCCAGAGTCCCCAGTTGCTATGGCAGATGGCTCAAGGTCCTGGAAGCTGCTAATTCCAGCTCTTTGTACTAGTTGGTGGCATCACAGGACGTGGGAATGGCTTTGTTGGACCAAAGGCTGAGGACCTGGGCCGTAGCATTCCACCCTGATTTCTCTTTTTATCATTCCTACTAGCTCAGTGTATTTCTGATTGTGCCATGACAGGAGGCTTTACATTAACCAGTGCCACAGGAAGACTGCAGCGGGGTGACTGTGGTTGCCCCTCCAGCAGTCTGGCTGGTAGCTTGGAGCTGAGCACCTCTTATTCCACGCGCCCTCCACCCTTCGCAAGGGAATCTTTGCCCCAGGGCTTCCTTCTCAGAGCAGCTGAACTCAGGTTCAGTCTTCCAGGACGGTTCTTCTGAACCTGTCCCCTTCTGCAGAGGAAGGGTCTCCTCCATTCCAGGGTCAGTAGCGCAGTGTTGTAAATACCCAAGTTGGATCAAGTCGGTTCATCGCGTCCTTCCTCATCCGCAGTCGGTCCCCGCAAAGCCAATCCTCTCAGCCTGCCCTTTTCCCCACATTGCTTGGCTTTTTACTTTGGTGGAAGTTTGTAGCCTCTTGTTCCAGGGCCCTGGGGCAGAGTGATGGATCCAAGACACAGTACTGTACTGACCCATAAAGGGAGCTGCACGTGCTTTGACCTTCATTTTTTCCAACGCCTCGGGTGGCATAAGCATATCTTAAATGCATTTCCTCTGTAAAGTGTCAATGTTCTTTTTCTCTAGGACAAAACTTACAAAAAAAAAAAATATGCAATTTTTTTATTTTGAGACTGTCCTGTGACTTGTACTCGTCTTCTCCTGAGGCTTGTGAAAAAAACCTTTCTTATGTACTTAAGATTATACAGAAGATAGAATAAAGTTAATGCCAACTTGCTCATTACAGAGGCTCTCGTTTACTCTTTGGGGGCGCCCAGGACCTCAGGTAGGACAGGGAGCCCTTTGCTGCCTAATCCTGCTTTGAATCCTTTCCCCACCAGGAAATACAGACTTTCCTCAACTCCCCTCCAATCAATTTGTCAGTAATTGTCAAATCTCACCTCTTTTAGTTGGTTAAAATTCTTTATTGATTTCAGTTGCTGTACAAAAGTGCATAAAACAAGCCATTAGTTGAAAACTGTTCAAGCTGTTAATACCTGTTTAAGTCAAACCCCCTCCTTTTTCCCCAGAAACCCTTAAATTTGGCCCTTTTCCCCCATCTTGAAGGATGGGCTGTGCTATCTTTCCTCTGCACACAGCCATGTAAGCCTACTTGCTGATGCCCTCAAGCGATGCAATGTCTTTAACACTAGTAATTTCAGTTAATACTGCTGTTGTGTCCTGCGAGGAACGAGAGGTGAGAGGGAAAACGAACCCCTCACTAATTGTTTTGCCATCACCAAGAGACAGGTCCAGCCCCAGCTCCGAGAACTGAAGGTAAGACTTTCCAGGGCTGGGCAGGATGGAGCGTTTCAGAGTTAGTGCAAGGCTTAATCCACCCTTCTCGGAGTGTAATTACATCCAGACGAATCCCAATCTCTGACTGCAGCGTTAGAAGTGCCACCTCTGCACGCTGTGGCACTGCTGAGCTAAAAATTCCTCTTCTTCCCCTTCCCCAGGTCCCCGCAGGATTGTACACACAAAGTGCTGTTGCACAGTAGCAGCTGCATTAACTACAGTGGTGGATTCTCCCAGGGTGCAGCCTCCCCTCAGCTTCACTGGAGGAAGGGGAGGATAGTGCTGTAAAACCACTCTTCGGAGAAGTGGAGGTGATCCCCTTTCACCCCCAGGAACACCAGTTTTCCTGCTTTGTCCATCTCCTGCAGCCCCAGGCGATCCTGCAGAGAGAAGCAGTGACCATGTGGGGCCCTGCCATGGCCCAAGGCTGGCAGTGGCTGGGGAACACCCCACAGAGAAAAACACTGATGGTCAGAGACCCTTCTTGTAGGCAGAGGGGGTTCCACCTCTGCTCTTCAAAGGTTCTCCTCATAGATGGGGGGAAAAGGCATTATGGATGGATGACTTAAAACAAGACTTTAAAAAAGAGCAGAGTTAATTAAACACATGCTGAAGGGGATCTTGAGCCAGGCATGAGAAGATCATTGTAATTCCCTCTCCAGAACTGTCCTGGAGAGACATGCCTTCCCAGACAGCGACTGGCAAGAGGAGGCCGTGCCCCAGGAATGGCAGAGATGGTGAGTAGAGCAGAGCTGGGGGGTTCAGAGCTCCTCAGGACCTCTACAGAGACACTTCAGAGTGGAAATAGCAGAAACCCCTCAGCCCCCAGCGGAACATACCTCTATGTACAGTGAGGTCTCCTTCAGCGGGATGGTCTCCTTGGCCTGGCCACTTTTGTAAAACCCAAACCACTGTCAGAATAAAAATGAAGGAAGAGCTGCTGAAGGGCTCCCAGGAGATAAGCAGGCTTTCACCAGCTTCTGCTGGAGACAGTGCAGTATCAGGCCTGCTCCTCGCCAACCTCAAGTTCTGCCACCAAAGGACAGACCAGAAACGAGCAAACAAAAACCAAAGTACCACCCAAAAGCAGCACTCGCCCTGCCTCACCTCAGAGATCGGAGGGTCCACCATGGTATCATTGAGAAACTTCACCATCACAAACTTCTTCAGAGCCATCAGGTTTTTCTTGTACGTCTCATTGATGCCCTGGATGAAAGCAACAGAGAAGAGTGTCACTGGAAAGCCCGCTGAGAGAGGTCGGGGAAACTGCTCCAACTTGCCCTGCACCTGCAAAGGAAACCCTGGAGTGCTGGGAGGCAGGAATCTGCATTTCTGTCCAACAGCCTCCCTTGGCTGTGCCCAGGGTGTTCAGCCTCATCTCCAGGCTGTAAAGAGGGGATGGGCCTCCCCTGGGGAGGGACAGGATTTGCTCACTTGAAAGGTGATGGGTGGCCTGAGTGTGTGGTGAATCTATACCAACCACTGCACAGGAGCACAGTGACAGGGGAACTGCTCTGCCATGGACAAGTCTCCTTCATAAATCTACCAGCAAAACCACTTTGTATGCCCCTGGATGCAGGGCAAAAAATGCTCCCCTTCAAGCTCCAGCAAAACTATTGCCAGGGAGGGAGAATATAAAAGAACTCACTGCTAAGGCGTCTGCTCTCCTGCTGGCGTTTAATCATCAGCCAGGTCCTTACCCTCTCCTGATTTATGTCAGCCAAAAAGATGCTGTTTTTCCTGTAGTCCTCCTCCTTCAGCGGGTCGTGCCAATATTCTGCTTGCACCAAACTGGAGAGGAGAACAATCAAAGATCAGACTGGAAACCCAGAGCTTCTCACGTGGTCCCCGGCCCCCGTCGGTGCAGCCCGAGGGATGTACTCACTGCTCCTGAACAGCTTGTGTGTAGGCGCCCAGATCCAGCGTCTTTCGGATCCAGTCACAGATTCGGGAGCTCTCCCCAGGACAGCGTGGAAATCCGTACACCCCTGGGGTGTGGAGACGTGTAACAACTCGGTGAGGCAAACTGAAATCCCTTAATCCCTCCAGCCGGTAAAGAACCACCCTCTTACAGAACAGTGGCAAGAATTACCCAGGGAATCAGGTGGCCTTTAATCCTGCAATCTCATTAGACAGCCCTCCTGCCCCTGGGCGCTGTTACACACCACGATAATGGATGATGTTCTTGAACAGAGGGTGTTCTCTGGAGAATGAGGCACGCAGACAAGCGGAATACCGTCCAGCTCGCCTGGTGTGTTCCCAGGAGGCCTCAGGATGGTTCCCTACAAGACTTTCCACTACGCTACAAAGAAAGAGACTCAACCCATGGAACTTCTCCAGGAAGAGTATTTGAAATTCACTGCCAGCCACCCTTAACTGTGCACCTCTTAAATTCCATGTCACGCTGCCTCTTTCATCTACTGCAAAAAGCACCTCCCTTTCCTTGGGGCTGTAGCCACCTTCCAGATGCCAACTGTAAAATATCCTTGTGAGCCAGAAGGTTTAGTTTCCCAAAGGCTTTGGTCTGTAGTTAGAAATTTCTTCTCCCGAAACAACTAATCCCAAGTGCTTCCCAAGTATGTAGGAATTCTACCCAGACAATGAGTCGTCTGCTTACAAAAACCCCTTCTCTTTGCCAGTTAAGCAAGTCAGAAGACAACGTAGTCAGGCAACAACCGGGCCAAAGCAGATCACCAGATTCAGCCAACAACAAAGGGACAACTTAATTCACAAGGAAATGGTCAGATTGTAGGAAGATGCCAAAAAAAAGAGAACAACTCCTGCCAAGAGCCTCCCCACCCTCCAAGGTGTGATAGCTTAAGAGGACACTACCTTGGTGCTGCCCCCCAATGGAGATCAAATTGAACATGGGAGGAGAAGGACACCTCTGCGCCACGGCCCTCCTGTGGAGAAAGATGAAGGAGATGAGCTGGGGCTCAGTGTGCCTGGGCCACCAGGCCACCACTGCGTGGGCTTGGGCACTTGGGTAACATTAGCAAAGAGAATTAACCCTTCCTGGTAGAGGAAGGCTACAGGCAAACACATTCTTGCCTCCTTTAGAGTGCTCCTACTTTTAGAAAGGGCTTTGTCCATTTGCATCTGCTTAGTACTTCAAAAGAGTTTTAAATCAGAACCTAAAACCCAACAGAAATCGCTGGAAATGGAACAGAAATGGAAACTCACAGGAACTGGCCCCCTTGGGAGAAGCCCATTGCGTTGTAGCCTCCTTTCAGACGAGGGTCCTTTGCGAGCTGCTCACACACCTCTCTCACTTGATCGTTCACGTTCATAAAGAAGCTGTTCTCCATATCCTAGTGGATTAGCCAGATTAAAATGTATCCTTTGTACCTTTACGATGGTTCATGCTGTTTTTGTATCTGCAAAAAGGTCACTAACGGTTCTGCTTTTGGAAGAGGACCTGAACTTTCTCAGTATGACAGAAATGAAAGTAAAGTTTTGAGACTTCCCTTCACCCAGCCTTTGTTCCGACTCTGCCTGGGAAAGGCATCTCGTACGGGGCAGGGACACTTCCCCAAAATTCTTATCAATTTGAGTCCTTTCAGATTCTGTGTGTATGTATACATATATATAATTAAAAAAAAAATAATAATCAAACTTCACCCCTCTTTTCCCGATCCCAAAAAGTAACATACATGGCACAGTATCTTGAGAGACTATTTAAAGAAATTCTGTAGGGCTACACAAAACTGTCAAAACCCACAAGGACACGGAAGTCTCTGTGTTTATGCTGAAGATGTACAGGGAATAAAGAGCTGTAAATAAAAAAAGATGGCAAGGAACAAAGCCCTGCTCCAGCACAGTTTTTTATCACAGACCTTTGCATTATCTGGAGCAGTGAGAGAGTGCTAATCAATGGATTTGCATATTAATCCAATTTAGACTAGGGATTTGTTTTTCCCTTGGTTCTTTTCCACAGGTATTATCTAGACTTTACCGTTTTGTATCTGTCTAAGCTGTTTACTTCACAAAGAAAAAGCAAACAGCAGTGAAAGCACTACAAGAATCCCCGTGGGGTCACGTTAATTACAGACTGAGATAATTACTGCACCTCCAGATCCAGGCGCCGGCCACCACCCTGCCGAGGAGACACCCGAGTGGCAGCAGAGTCACTCACCTGTATCAAGTTGCTTCCGATCTTGAGAGACAGGACGTATATCCCCGGTATTTTATTCTCCACTATTTTTTTAATGTAGCCCATGCTCTGCGGGTTGCAGCAACTGTCTCCTGTGATAAGAGAACACGGCGACGCAGGGTCACGCCACCGCCCAGGCCCCC